GAGTATATTTTCTTGCTCACATTCGTTTGAATCTTACGTGCATTGTAGGAAACAATTAGTGGTTCGCATCACTAGAGACAGATTTTCTAGCCTTGAGCTTTTTGAAGCAAAGAAATATTTTTGCAGTTATTTGCTCAGAATATTAAGATAAATGAAAATAACCCCTCCTCTGTGAGGCCAGGGTTGAGGATGCGGTGCGCGTGAGTGCACTCGTATGTCTCAGGAAACAACTTAAATAAAATAGTGATAGTGCGAGGTCTTAAAATTCCTACGATTGATGCGATGCCTTCCATTTCTATAAGTGAAATTCTCAGAATTATTGTTTAAAATCAAACGCAATATTGGAAGCTTTATAACAAGGCTCAACTGGAAAAGAATAGTTAGATATATGAGAAAATTTTCTCCGCGTAGCCCGAAGGCAGTAGGTGAACTCGAATAACACGAGCTTGAGAAGTAGTTCCACTGAAGCTCATTGCTCGTGGCGGCTAAAGTGTCAAACTTGCAGAGAATTGAAGCTAACAAGTTGCCTCAGTTCAGCTTCCTCTGCCTTACCATGTCACCGCTCCTCGGGCAAGCCTTACTACCAAACTTGGGGCTTTATTTCGTAGCAGAACATCAAACAATGTTTTGTCTTCTGAACTCATTATGCAAGCGAGGGATGCGCTGCCATACGCATCACTTTAAGGCCTTGCCAACGACGTCATTGGCCGCTGTTGTGGCCAGCCGACGACTCAGTGACTCCTTTCTTGGGCCATTGTGAAGGCGTTTTGTCGTGAAAGAGTCTATATGGATCGAGATAAAACTTTGTTCCCAAGCACGGTCATAACATGCAGCGCTGACCATATGAGTGTACAAGCTCTATAATTTTTCAATATGAAATTCCGTTACCAAAATAGGTTTTAAAACATTGAATTCGTTTACGCGATATTAGAGCGCAAACTTTTATGTTGCATTGTTTTACTTACCATAATTTGAAATGTGACTGGAAGTGCGGAAATAGCTCTCTTTCAGACACGATGAGACAGTCAAATTTAATGATGGGCTTTGGTAGAAAATTTCACGCTATACTGTACGCGTAATCAAGAGAAACGACAAAACTTGCTGAACGTATTAGATATGAATTTCCCAGTGGATGATGGCGCCCTTAGACTTGGAAGCCACATGGACTGCAGGGTGAGTCGTCGCTCGAGGAGATCCACAACAAGTCAGCGCAGACAAAGAGCGCTATTATAGGACGCGGGGCTTCCGTGCGAGGTCGTAGACTCTCTCGTCTGTCATGATGGCTTCTGATATTTTTAGCTTTCCTTCAGCAGCACAAAGAAGTGAGACACAAAGAACTGGGCTTTTGAATGAGAATGAAATTGAAAGTAAGTTACAATTAAAGAATAATCACAGAATAAAAACGGTAAAATCGTGAAGCATACACGGGGTTTCTTGTATAGAAAATAAGAGCATTAGCTGTAAGGTGAAGTCGTATTCAGAAATAAAAGCCTTAGAAATGTCCACCGTCAAGATGTTGCGAATAACAATATTGTATATATTGTCTGAAAAAAATGAATCTTCTGCCCCGTTGTGTGGCCGCTTTGATTGGTTGTTATCTTTGTTCTGCAACTGACATCTGAGTGCGTTTATGGAAGCTCAGGCTTTCCCGAGAAAACAAAAGCAACATGAAGTTGTATGTTCATCACTGAAAATATTCCTGCAACTCTCTTTAAATTTAAATGAAATTTAAATTAAATTTAAGTAGGCCGCTGGCACTGTAGGTTAGTTTTGCAATGATTTCGACCATTGCATTTCAATTAAAATTCCGTCTAGCATTAATAAAATCGAAAAAAGATTTTTTAACAGGATCGGATAAAATCAAGGACAATGTTGGTGCCTAGTACCGGGAAAAACTTAATTTAATTATTTTCTTTGTTTGTGCTATCAGCGGGTCATTGATTCAGTCAATTTCAATTAACAATATCAATTGGTTCAATGATATTATTGATTTTGGGTGATTGCACTTTCCAACTTATGTTACATCAAGGCTAATTTACCGTGTGTTCATACTTCTAGGATATGCACCACCAGACTGATAACATCTGTTCTACTTTTCTAACCATGGGTTACACCGACTTACTTTAACACGTGTAGCACACAGACATGAGAAAATGAATAATTGTTTAAAATTGAATGTGACAACACAAAATTTATTAGAATTTCATTAGAAGGAACCACATCCACGCGGTAGCAAGCCTTATATTAGGCAAGAAACTGAACATACAAGGCTATTGTGAGTTAACCGATGTAAACTGAGACTTGATGAGCCATTTCAAGTCAAAAGCTTTAACGAAATTCAAGTGTAATTATCTGCCGCATGACATTGCAATTCCCAACAATTTCTATCCCAACTGCAGCGTGAAGTGAACGCTATAAGTCAAGATTCTAACGTCAGTCTCGAACACTCGTACACCTTCTCAGTCTCTTTTTAGCGCATTTTCTCATTTATGGAAAAAATGCACTATTGTGCTCGACATGTCCATCAGTCTGTCTGTCCGTCCGTCTGTCCGTGACCTCAAGTTTTCGTCGACGAGAAAATGCGCTCTCTAGCTGTCACTCACTGCAGTGAGTACTGAGTTATATTTTTTGCTATTGAAAGCGTAAAAGCTATAGAGTTTTCCTACGGTACTTTCAGATAAAATAAAGCTTCATATTAGTCTCGCTGGCCAGAAAGTAACCCCAAAGCTCTGAATTTCGAAAATCGGGCTCGTTATTGCGGCAAAAGGAAAGGATTTCTTCGCTGGGATCCTGGGAACGGATCACGATTGTGCTCGTGTTTCAGGGTCGGATTTGCTGAAAAAAAAAAACATTTATGTCGAGGCTGGTTTTCTGTCATTGACAACTAGTTTTGCTATTTAAATTTATTACATTTTGTAGACAATCTGCGTTTAAACGCTCAACAGTCCTCATAGAGACCAATTTGGCACTCAGTAATAAATTACTCGGGTTCCATGGTCTAATTCAGTGCTGTTTTTTTCCTTTTGGCTTCAATTTAACTTCTAATCATAACGAAGACAATGTTTGGTGCATTATCCATTCATTATGTATCTGCAAATAGCTAAATTTTCAAAAAAATATGATAGCGTATGCCATTTTTACTACCGTTTTTCTATAAATTGCGATAGCAAACTTAATTAATATGTTCTAGAGCGCTTAATTTTTTCATCAGTGTACGAATCAGATTATTTTTTTACTATGCATGACTATACACATCAGTTATTTCTATTTTATCTAGTACTCTGTAGAAAAAAAATTAAAATTAAGATTCTTTGTTTGATTTCTTAATTATTCCCACTATTTGACTAAATAGTAAAATTCTGTTTAAATCATTCATACAATTGATGAGACGCGAGCACTCCTTTTTTCACTATGGGACCCTACATGCACAGAAACTACAATAAGTCCAGCAGTAGGTACAAAGGCGCCTAAAATAACACAGCTCACATACTTGTTGCCTTTGCTTGAATAATTGCACGTGAATCTTGCCAGCTCGATATCCAGCTACTTTTCTCTTTGCTAGAAATAAAACAACCATTTATGAATAAAAATAACGAGTCCCTGACCCAGCGCATTGATATCTCTTCAGTTGTATAGGGTTCGCCAGAGAAACTTACTTATTTGAAAGGTCAATAAAAACCAAAGTACTTCAATTGTTGTTTTAACTTTTTTTATTTGAGAATACAATATGCCAATTTTTTCAAACTGACTTGAAAATGTTATCGGATAAATGGATATCCCTTATTGCGCAATCACTGATGAAGTCGATTTTTGAAATTCGTATCCACTCTTTGCAGCATGTCAATCGGTATGTTGGCAATGGCGTCGCGAATGTTGTTCTTGATGTGTGCTATGGTCCGCGGTGGATCGACATAAACCAGAGATTTCAAATAACCCCATAAAAAATCGCACGGAGTCAAATCTGGATAGCGTGGCGGCCATTGGAGATCGCCTCTGAGAGAGATGAGGCGGTCTAGGAAATGTTGTCGCAACAAATTCATTGAGTCTCTGCTGTGTGTGCTGTGGCTCCATCTTGCTGAAACCACATGTTCCTAACGTTCATTTCTTCAAGTCTCGGAAGATAAAATTTCTCCATCATGTTACTGTAACGAGCTCCATTAACGGTAACTGCGCGTTCGTTTTCTTAAAAAAAATAAGGACCAATTATTCCCATTACCAACATCGCACACCAGACAGTAACTCGCTCGCAGTTAAGTGGCTTCTGGTGAAGCTCACGTGGATTCACAACACACCATGCAATAACGCATGTTTTGCTCGTTGACACAGCCGGAAAGTTGGAAGTGAGCCTCGTCACTGAAAAAAACGACCGCATCTTCAGGAAGGTTGTCAACCAGCATTTCACATGCATTTGACGAGCAACAAAATCGCGTTCAGTTAATTCTTGCACAACGGCCAATTTATGAGGATAAAAGTGAATGTTTTCATAATCTTCAACAAACTTGGGAAGTTTCCCCTCCAGATGCGCCCCCTCTCGCCCCCCTACCTGCCCAACTCGATCATCACCGCGCGGGAATTTTTTTCAAATAAGTAAGTTTCTCTGAAGCACCCTGTATTATAGGATTTATAGCAAGCAATTATAATATAAGAAAGTTAATAACCTCGTCACTATTGTGTCTTCTATTGCCGTCACTATTGAATTGCATTATCAATGAAAGCTACTCATAATGATTTTGCGTCAATGATATAATGAGATAGCAAACGTCAGCGAAGCGCTATAACTCGTGCTCGTCATTGGGAGCAATTGCACGGTTATTATGAAATGAATTTTTTGTGCATAGAAATTTATGAAAAATTGTGATTGCTTTGTATATCTGCAATAAAACAAATTTCTAGAATTGATCTTAAAAACGCTTAGCAGAGGTTAAATAAGCAGAACTTCTGGTTCAGTAGAACTGCATAAAGTTTTACGTTCGAGAACAAATTCGAAGTCCTGTATTTTGTCTGTCCATGTGCGATTATCGAGTGACGGAGTTTAATTTATACACTGCTATTCCTACGTTCAAAACGTAGATAGCATGTAACTAATGAAAGGCCAGTGAAAGGAGGTCGATTGTCTGCGGTTGTATATGAAACAGTAACCATAAGGCAGGTCGGTATATTGAACAACACTAGTTTACAACAAGCGACGTTTATATTTAGTTGTTCCCACCGTCACCGGTCTGATCAGAGTTGGTCGGGACGCTATACAGTACAGGAAGAAAACTTTCACAGGTATCCATCCTATATACAGCAAGTTGAGGGAAATTATGGTGTTTGTTATATAGAAGGGCACAACAATCGGTGGAATCATTGGTAAAACAATTTATTTTCTAAGTATTTAAACATCACATTTTCCCCCTCTATATATAGAATTCACGTCTTAACTGAGTTTCAGTTTATAAACTCAGTTTGTCTTATGTTAGATGCGTGCGATCATTGTTTTAGGTTCCATCAGGCTTCAGGTTTAATCTCACATTTTAGGTTCGATCAAAACTCGCTAGCACATGTTATCCGTATTGTTTTAGACCACAATGTCTCACACTTTAAGTTAGGTCACATTTCGATAGCACATGTCTCCATATTGCCTTATATATATCACAATCCGGTAGCACATGTCTCCGTATTGCTTCGTATCACAATTCGGTAGCACATGTCACCATACACCTGCAAGCTTCAGGCATCGCTGATACAGCTGGCCCAGACATCAGTATGTTGCTGCACAGCTCAACGTCGCTCACGTATATGTTTAGAATAGGAAGCCTGCCATAACGAGATATTTTGTCATCCCAGAGCAGCTGTTCCTGGAGGAATATTTATATTTTCTTTGAGATTCTGCCGCTGTCTGGGAAAATGCACACGAATCTTTAATCCCGAGTCGCTCGATTCTGGGAAGGTGTGTTCAACGCGAATGTCATATTTGATATTTATAGAGAGAATAATATCTGCTGAAACATCGTTTACAATACTCGGCTTGTTCCGTGATATATATTGAACGTTTTCATTTAGGCAAAAATATTAAGTTAGATGAGAGTATTTGATTCGCTTTCATTTAATTTACGACGAACAAGAGAGTATGTCCAACATACTTCCAAAGAAGTTTTAAGAAATCACAAAATGCATATTTTATCGTTCAGGCAATACATGTTACACATTATTGTCAATACCAATTGTAAAAAACAGAATCATAACAACAGGCTGAACATCTGTGGATATATTATAATATCAACCGATTTTATATCCCTCTTGTAAATGGTAGAGGAATTCAGAAAAAATAAATACAGGGAATTACATAGACATTTAATTGACCTTAAGATAATGAATAATTCTCCTTCTCTATGGGATGTTGTTGAAAAAATAACACAAGCGTCGACTAAGACAATATTTGCTATTATAAACTCTACCGTAAATCTCTCTAACGTTAATCATTTATATAATATTATTTACGATTTCCAGATATATACACAATTTACAGGGAACATTAAAACACACGCGTAAAAAAGATAGCAGGCATTTGGTAGAAAACTTCGCCACACAACATACGTCACACATAGAGGACCGAGATCACGAGAAGAAGTTTGGTCTTTATCTAATCTGTACAGTTATTGGGATTCACTCACTTGCACGCCTCACAGTATTCAATATTTTTTTAGCAATAACATTTTTTTCATTTTCCAATTGGAGACTTAGTCGAAAAACATTCTCAATTTATTAAGAAACCCATGTTTCATTACCAGCCTAATGATCGCGTAAACCATGAAGTTTATTCATCAGGATCTATCGTTTGCAGGTAATCCAGCTTGTTTTTAGCTCTTTAGACCTGCTTACTTGTAAAAAAGATGATTCACGTGTATGGCCACAACAAAGACGATGTAAGACGAGCGTAATACCGTCATTATGAATGGTAACGAAGGCAGTGGCTACTAAGTAATTTAATTTGACCTCAACTAAAATTATATGCATAAAAATTTACCGATTGCAGCACGATAATCCCAATGCTCGGGAATATGACAATGTCCTTTTGATGTTTTCTTCACACGTTTTGTCCGGGATCATGCAATTATTTGGCAGTAATTTCAGCGCCTTGTCGACCTTTATATCAACTGAATGGAAAATATTCACAAATACTAGACACAAATCACCATCAATTCTTTACGTGTAACACTGATTCATCCACTAAATTTTTGTTGTGTCTTTATCGCTATCACATCCTGACTAACGATAATTAAATCTTATTAGCCATTCCAAAATTTTTCATAAATTTTCCATACCTAATCAACACAGATCACCGTCACGCTTGCCTCTTAATCTTCACAAAAATTCCATCACTTTATGTCTCTCAGCGTGAGGCCGGGCGCTAACTGAGGCTGGAGTGAAGGCAGTAGAAACATCAGCCCTCCCCCAGCGTGAGGCCGGGCGCTAACTGAGGCTGGAGTGAAGGCAGTAGAAACATCAGCCCTCCCCCAGCGTGAGGCCGGGCGCTAATTGAGGCTGGCGTGAAGGCAGTAGAAACATGAGCCTCTCCTGAGGGAGGCGCTGCCTCAGAGAGCCGCTGACAGCAGCAGGGCGGCCAGCAGCGCTGAGGTTCCCAGCGCCGCCACTGCGCTCCCTGCGAACAGAACAGATGGAAACTGGGAGCTTTTTCCATTCGTCAATTACTAAAGCAGAGGGAAGTGCTCCGAATGTAGGAAAATATAATTGTGTGATGAATATTTTGATTTGTACACATGCAACACAAATAAGTATGAGAAAATTATAAGAGATAACAAACTAAAATGTATCAATAATGAAATTGCACGACTTGTTCTTAAGATATGATATACTTTATCATTATACGTTCGGACTTGAAGCTGTGCTCCATGCGCCGCTCCCTCACCTGCGCTAGGCGCGCTCGCTAAGGACTTGTGCTCCATGCGCACGCGGATCGTCTGTGACGCGCGCTCCTCGAACTCGCCCAGCGACAGGCGACACTCGACCAGGACGCTGCCGCCCGCGTCCACCACCTGCACGCGCGGCAGGGACATTTTTTTTTTGACAGCACATTTACGAACTGATGAGAATTTTAATTATGGGCGCATGAAAATTGTAAGTGAGCAGGTATCAGACTCCCCTCAAAACAATTACAACGTGGGCAGAAAAATATTGAAGATGAAGGAACGTCGTTCAATGAGAACATGCATATTTGCCCATTTGGGTTTTTTGCTACGTTCTTTGGCAGGCACGTTCAAGGAAATTGGCTCCACGAAATTTGAAGTATCCCCTTCCAACAGTTTTACGAAGATTCTAGTTCATTCATTTACATGCTTGAAGACTGAACAATTCAAACCTGAGTCTCATAATCATAAGCACGAAATGTATTATTACAGTGCATAATTTCAACAATTGTTTACCTGTTGTCCTGGTATATTCAATGAGACGCCAGTGTAGCTGCCGTCTAGTGATCGCCCGTACTTTTCTTGTTGTCCTGGAGGTGCCTAAATATAAAAACCATAGAGATATTTTGAATATGAGAAGTTTATATTCAATACTCAGCTAAGTGTCCCACTCAAAATGTGAGTTTAGTGAGGGTAAATCTACAAAAAACGCTTAATATAACTTGAAATTTATTCGTATTTCAATAAATAATAGACAAATACATGAACAGCATAGACCAGAATAGTAAAGGTAGCATATTGAGGTGCCTCGTAGCAATAATGCTTCTACATCCACTTGTGATCGGAAATATTTAGTTTGGAAATGCATTCCTAACTACAGGGTGATTCACGGAAACTTACTGATTTGAAAGCTCAATGAATATTAGAAAATAGTAGAGATATATAAAAAAGTAATCATTATAATATAAATTTTATTGAAAAAAAATTACCTGAGTCCTTGTACCATTTAGTTTTAATAATGACATCGGACAAATGACGGCCCCCATTGTCAGTGCATTCCTCTAGTCGATTTTTGAAGTTCCGTTCAACTCGCTGAAGCAACTTGACGGGTATGTTGGCAATGACTTGGCGTATGTTGTTCTTCAAATGAGGTAGGGTCTCGGACAGTCTTTGTAAACAATTGACTCTTGCATTCACACTTCCACTTGTCCTAAATGTATTCACTCAAGTAATAATCGACTAATGATCAGAAACCCGACCTGAAGGACAATTACGGATCTGTGTACGGAATGCTGGTTGAGTAACGATAATGGAACGTCCATTAGGAAAGTACGCCTCGACAGCAAACGCACGCTGCGAACTTGTCCAAAACATAGTATCAACTGTCTAGGTAGAACTCAAAAACCTCCTGACCTCGCCTTTCATGTGAAATAATTCACGTCCTTTTTCTACAACAACTGGCTGTTTGGCACGAAATGCAAAACATGAAGTTTCGGTGAATCAAGCTGTATTTTAAATCCTCATCGATTTAGGTGCTTGAAAATCTACGTGCAAGTTTCAACAGTTTCTGAATTATTAACTACCTTTATTGATTTTATTTATATCGACTTAACTTAACGCACATCTTGTCTGAATAAGATTGAAGCATCTATTTTGGAAACGGTGTCAAGCAAATTGAAGATATTTTTTAATCAGTAAACATACAAGATCGGCAATCCGACAACATAGTGAGAAAACGCGGTACTCAATTATTCTGCAATAGTGATTTATGACTAGACATTTCAATACAACACGCGAATAATTCTCTTTCTGCCTCCTCAGTGACTAGTAAACTGAGGAGGCAATATTTGGTACATAAATGCAGAAATGAAGAACTCACCTGTTTGCCGTCTATAAACCAAACTATTCTGGGCATAGGCTCGTCTTTCTCCATTTTTTGCGGCTGGCAGCCGACGGTGATCTGATCGGAAGGCTCGTATATTTCGCGCACCCTTTTGATGAGCGGCGGGCTGAGGCTGTGGCCTGCATACATACCAAGGGAACTAAACATGTATACTTCGCGCACCCTTATGTTGATAGGCAGACTGAGGCTGTGGCTTACACATGTACAAAAGAAACTCTAATTTAACAAGCATATCTGTAAAATTAGTTGTAGTATAGAAGGGAGGCAGTTACAAATTCAAGGATCATCTACCGTCGAGACCGTGGCTCAGACATCAGGACGAGCATTTCTGTGTTTGTGCTCAGCGCTGCTCATTATGGCAAGTCTTGTCGCTCATGCTTTTACTCGCGATAATTAGAGGCTTTTGTTGAGGTGATAAGTAGGGAGCAGCTGTTGGGCCAGCTTGAGTTCTATCAAAGCCGAGCGTTGTGACTGCCCCCGTAAATATCGCCCGAGTCGCACGCCTATGAATGTCATACCACTGTTTAGAAAACGCGGCCCGGGTTCTCTATTTAACTCAATGATAAATAATGTCTCGCGTGTGTATGGTGAGGGACAAACTGACGTTTAATCACAGTAAGGTAATTTCTGTTCGTGTCTCGACGACAATGGCAGGCAAGATATTATAAAAACTATAAAAAGTACCTCAACGCATGTCTGGGCTCTCAAATTATCTATAACTTCACTGGAAATTAGCTTCATTGGAATGAAATACGCAGCATTAAGAATTTAATTGCTGCCAATATAGTGTGATGAAACTTCCTCTTATCTTGTTTTAATTAATAATATTTCGTGACGGTGCGATACAAATACAGCTTATTCCTCACGGCTCTTATTCTTGCCACGAGAGTAACATTTCGTGCGTTTATAGTGGGAATCAAGTATCCTCTCAGCCATGTTCCAGTTTTTTTTTGTCTCTCCGACCTATGCAGAGAATCATATCTTAAGTAGATTATGCGGATCTTATGTTCACATTGCCAGCATTGATATCGTGCCTGAACGAGAGTTGTGTGTTTGTATACAGGCAATACACATGTTTCATTAAAAATAATGCCGGTTTTGTTTAAAGAAGACAAATTTTAAGCAAAACTAGCTTTATTTTTAATGGAACACACTTAAATGAAAGGCTCCTTCATAAATATGCTATGCACAAGCTATACAAATGATTTTCAAAGGCTTCAACCTCGCAACATTAGTTGATATCTCAACAGCAATGACGAACGAGCTTTGGCCAGCTTAAGAACAATATTTAGCTTCCCGATTTTTTTAGAGCCCTCCAAATTTTTGACATATCAACAAATTTTTAATTGGACAACAATTAAACTAGTCTTTCGAGCTCAACCTTTACTTATTTTATGATAAGATCTCATAAAAAATCAAACAATACATGACCACTTTTTGGTAGAATAATTACATGTACAGCCTTTCGCTTACAAATTTATCATCATAGTTTTTTCCACCTCCTGCTCTGAGTTCAATTTGAACCTGGCCAAAGAATCAGTTGTCTTCGCGCATCCAACCCTGAGATCGCAGAACGAAGCTCTGGCCGCACATCAAGTCCCTGTATCTTGCAGTCCAGCAGCGACCAAAGCAATTATTGTTAATCAGTGCAAGCCAAACTGCTCAATATGAGCAGCCTGTATCTGTAGAACTCGGTGTTGTTGTGATACCATTTGAGGGAGTAAAGTTTACTGCTGCCCATGTCGTAGACGCAGCGCAGGGTTACCGTCCCTGACACGAACGTGAACTGCGGCACCTCCAGAGACTTCAGCAGACTGCCCGCGCTGCCTGCAACGTATGCAACATTCACGGACTTCAGACAAACTCTGAAACCCAACTACAGTCTTTATTCTAAACTTTTCGATCGAAACCATCCGCTAAATTGTTCAACGCTTCATTACGCTATCATTGGTAGAGGGTAGCAGGCAAATTTCTTTCAATGCAGAATGTATAATAGGAATAAATGATGATTAAATTGTCAGCATCTCCGCTAATGTATCTCATACACTCATCTCAAAACAGACACCGTTAGGTCATAACAAAAAGTGATTAATAATTACTAAATAAATGTACGATGCATAATTGTCATAAATGCGCATAAGATTTTTCGTCGTCATAATACAATTAACATCTTGAACAATGAAATCCTTTTCCCCTTTAGCTTCCTCCGAGCACGAAATGTATGAAACATTCAATATAATTCGATATCTGATCCGACGCAAGTTGCCTGAATTTCTTAGGGCCGATATATGAATCATATGCAATGATACGAATTAAACGATATTCGGCCTGCAGGAGAAATTTACTGCGGAATTAAACAGAGAAAATAAAAATTCCTTTAGAGGTGCACAGGTTCCACATTTAACTCAATAATTGGTTGAAGTGCTATCGCTATCGTGAACGGCGCACCTAGCGGCTTTCATTGCTTCTTCAGCCCCAGTAATACTCTTAAAATAAACTTCTTTTCACACATTTCAGTGAACTCATTTAATTAGCAGGGAAGACGAGAACACTTGGAAAAAGAATCATGGATACAGGGCACGCACACAGCGTTCGCTCTCTCCTGATTACTCTGAGAAACATTGAGGAAGAAATAGAGTCGTGAATATTTTTGGATGCTCTAATTTTTTGATGAAGGTCGCGAACGATACATCTACTGATTGGTAACCTCTGGTATGATCAAGCCAACAGATTGAACAAAAGATTTCTTATTTGAGGACCAAAAGATTGGCTCATCACTGAAAAAGCAAATCAGTGAATGCAAAAAAAATAAGCGGAGTCTCCAACCTCGCAGTGGAGTGTCACACACTACATCGGGCGGGCTGTTATGGCCATTTAGTGAAGTTTGCACAGTTTCCCTTCGAGAAATTTCAATAGAATCTCAATAGCTTGCGAAATTTCCGTAAATTTCAGCACACTCACAATTTTTTAGTTCTTTCCAAATCTGCCAAAGCGAGTTGCTAATTCTTCTTCGAAGGTAACTGTATTTCTCTCCTGACAGATGTAAGTTCCAATTATTTATCAATCTTCATAAAGAACAAATAGAAAGAGCGTGATTGGGACCTGTAACTGATCATTTTTCTGTCCAAAAATTCTTCTCAGGACGTTCTAAGTTTAAGTTCTTATATTCACGCCAGAGCGTCACTAATGAGCAAGAATTACAGAGTTGCAGAGTTACAAGATGTTGACTGTAGGACGTGTAAGTCCTATAGTCAAAGGCGGCTAAAAATCCAGCCCGTCGTTATTGATTTACTTTCAAACAAATATTTCTGCAGCAATAGTAGGGAGTTGCGTAATATTGGCCAAGTGAATATCCATGCATGGATCACCACGAGCCCACTAAGCCTCTTTCATTCCAGCTGCCTAACTCATCGCCAGCTGAGGGGATCACAAATGTCGATGAGCTTCTGTTTGCATGCAAGTCCGATGTAAAAAACGCAATAATAGACGTCGCTGATGCATCGCGCTGCCTGCTTGCGTGGCAGACTTTCTAGAAGAAAAATGTACTTTTGCTCATGCTTATGCCATAATAAATACCCCTATGAGAAGAGGTGTATAATATAAATATTTGCTAGACGCCAGAATAATTTTCAGGTTTGACGTTCATTTTTGTTATCTTGGTTATTCCTTCAGCGAAATAAATAGTTTATTTCGTCAGTATTATTGTTCAGTCGGGCGTACACAAGTCTAGTGTCTGGGTTCATTGACGGCTCAATTTCTATGCATATTCCCTTCATCGGAAAAATTAGGCAGCGCCTTTCAATTTGCAGCGACTTTTAATTTAATTTTTAACTTAATTACTTTTTAATTTTAATAATTTTCATAAAAATCAAACTAAGCTTAATCACAACGCAATAAGCCACATTGATTCTACGCTCATTTCAGTAGCAGTTATCCTGCACTTATTGCCCTAACGAAAAATTTTTAAGTAGAATGGCAATACCAAATTCTTCAGAGCTTGGCAAAGCAAATCTGACGGTGAAGAAAGAATGCAATTTTTCATGAAGCAAACTAACCTGTTTTACTGCCAGCAGTCGAATTGCATTTTGTTAAACGCATGATAAAGGAATTATATGAGGTTTAATATTCAACACCAACGAATGTCTATTAAAATTCCATCTACAGAAGTCAGTTGTGTTTTGTTTATGACATTTCGTCTGTGGAATAAGTCTCAGATATTTTAATGTCGGTGCAGAAAATTTAACGAATTTCTGCCGTAATTAGAAAGCCGTGGCCGAGATTATCACAGATCTGCGCTATGGCTTCTTTAATTAAAAGTATATGCCTAAGAAGCCAGCATACACTGTCAATAGGGCTTCCAGTTATGCATTATTTGTTAAGATTATAATATTATTTACTGGTGAATGCCCGCCATCTTTCTCGTCGTCTACGTTTTTTGTTCATTTTATTCGCCTGAACATTGTCACATCAGCACCATCACTGTCATTCGGTGCAATATTAACATGCAAAAATATAACTCAGTACTCACTGCAGTGAGTGACAGAGAGCGCATTTTCTCGTCGACGAAAACTTGAAGTCACGGATGGACAGACGGACAGACAGACAGGCGGACATGGCGAGCACATTAGTGCATTTTTCCATAAATGAGAAAATGCGCTAAAAGTGCCTTCATTAAAATGAACCAACTCAAAGAGTTGCATCTTGGGACGGCTCCAAACTTAAGCCGGCATCATAACACCATAAAGACACTAAGATCTTAAAACGAAAATAATTGGCGCGTTATAATTAGGTTTACAGTTTGGGTTCAACTATTGGGTCAGTGGGATCGAATAGGAAGGCGAGCATCAGCAGCCGCTGTTAGGGAATCAGAATTTAGTATTTTCGTAATTTTGTATTTTTGTAATTTTAGTTTTCAGTTTAGAAATATGGAAGTTAAATTTGTAGGTTTTAGTCCGTTCCAGTCAGTCCCGCATTTGAACCCACAGTGTCAAGGTGTGTTTTAACTTGGTTATTTGTTTGTTCCTGTGTTTTAAGTTTTGTGGTTATTACGAGGTGGTCTTTATTCTGTTATATTTTGTAAAGTTAGATTAGTTTATTCATGAGAAGGTTTGTTCATACTTTGTCGTTTA